GGGGCAAGGTGAGAAGTGCATCATCATCACTGTGGAAACGTAACTTGCCGGTATCGTTCAAGTTTTTTTTTTTTTAAATTGATACTCACGTAAGCCAGTGATCCCGCGGCTGGTTGTGTTTGCTGTTGTGCTGGCTGTGGAAAATAACAAAATCACATTTCTTGTTACAAATGAAGATGGAGCACCCCAGGGCTCTCTTCTTGAACCCGTGTTATTCACGAAACTCACAGGATTTGCTTCCTTTTTGCCTTTGTGTGACGAGGCCACGACAGCCAGGTACTGGATCACCTTCTTGGTGTTTTCCGTCTTGCCCGCTCCTGACTCTCCACTAGGTGTCAACAGAGAAACATGCCTTTTAATCTAGGTTTGTATCTGTACACGCCTACAGTGTTTCTCAACTGGTGGGTCGGGTTGCGGACAGATTGTTGAAAATTTGAAAAGCCAAAATCTTGAGACTAAATTTGTATTTTTCAAAAGAAAAGAAATATGGAACGAAAAATACATTTGAGAATAAATTGTTACCTTTTTGAGAAAAAAAATAATTCAAGACTAGAGTTCGGCGTCGTGTTTTCTCTCGTTCTGAAAAACTAATTTGGTGTTATGAGTTGGTTGTCAAAATGTGCGTGGTGAGATGACACCATTTTCAAACTTCTGTTGGAGTTCTCAAAATTGGGATTTTGATGTGGCTATTTAGCCCGCGTGGTATGTGTGTTGGTTGTACTGTTGGTGCGTGCTTGTGTGCGACTCACGTGCAGAGGATGGACTGATCCTCGCGGTCTGCGGAGGGAAATCAAGCAGAACAGACCAAAGATGAGCCAGCAGAGATTAGCGGGAATAACAACAACGCCGCGTTGGCTCTGTTCCATCCATGTAAGGCCATGATGGAAAGGGAAGGAAAGTTCAGGAAAGGCTGCTGACCTTGCATCATGTTCCTGTAGGCATTGTCGGTGATGGAGTAGATGTGCGGCGGGACTTCGTGGCGCTTTTTACCCTTGTACATGTCGATGATCTTCTCCGAGTAGATGGGCAACATCTTGTACGGGTTGACCACCACGCAGAAGAGGCCCGA